GCAGCTCACAAGGTGGAGACAGGAGGATTGTAAGTTCGAGGCCCTAAGCTACTTAGTAAGACCCAGTCTCAAAAATAAAAGTGTGGGGTGCAGGTGGGCTGGGGACATGGCTCAGTGCTAAAGTGCTCCTGGTTTAAATCCTCAGTACCAAAAAAAAGGAAACGAAATGTATACTTAGAATCAGAGAGAGAAAAGGGGGCTCAGAAATGACTGAATTCCTAATAGATGAGGCCACTGAGACTCAGATCTCTTGTCAACATAGCTCATTAGTGGCATGCTTAGCATGAACAGAGATCTATGGTTACTGGTCCAGAGTAACTACTTGAGATAAGGGCCACGGGCTGAGAAATGTAAAATTGAAGTGAAATAGCTATAGTTTCAAGTCGCTACTGAAATGACAACGCTAACCAAAAGGATCACAGAAATAAACTTAAAAATTCTGACTTTTATGGGTTTCACAAACATACATGTGGTTGACAGGCCTCCATGTTCCCTCCAGCCCAGCTTGATAAAGTTGTTTAGAGGTTCTTAGAAATTCTAATTGGCGCCAGGAATGGCCATACCTGTAATCCTAGCAATTTGGGAGGCTGAGGTAGGAGGATTGCCAAGTTTAAGGCTAGCCTCAGGGTCTCTTGAGAGCCTGTCTCAAAATAAAAAATTAAAATTGCTGGGAGTATAGCTCAGTAATAAAGTGTCCCTGGGACAGTACCAAAAAATTCAAATTGAATAATTCTGAATTACTCCGAGCAGAAAGTACTGATTTTCCTCTCACTTGCGACTCACTGGTTTACCAACACCTCTGACAAAGAAGTAATGCTCAGGATGGTTTTCAGAGGCTGCCATTGCCCTATGTGATTCAATAGGAAGAATGCTCACAGGAGGGCAGAGCAAAGGTTAAGGTAACCTTCTGTGCCTTCTTCCAAAAGATTGGCCTTTTGAGAACTGAAAGCCAATCTCTTGAGGGAGGGGAACAGGAATCAGAATCTTACCATCTAGAAAAGAATTCTTAAAAACCCAAATACCTGAAGAGCTCTATTTCTATTTACATCATATAGCTGTCCCTTAAAGCTGATGGTAAAGCAAATTCTAGGTGTACCCGGAAGCTTTTCAGATTAGAAAACCATCTGGATAGAAACAGAGCCACACCTGAAACTGTATTTCAGAATTAGATCTGAGTGCAGCAAAGCTTTTTTCCTCCTCAACTATGGTTTTTTTTTTTTTTTTTTTTAATATTTATTTATTTATTAGTTATTGGCAGACACAACATCTTTGTTTGTATGTGGTGCTGGAGGATCGAACCCGGGCCGCACGCATGCCAGGCCAGCGCGCTACCGTTTGAGCCACATCCCCAGCCCCTCAACTATGGTTTTAAAACTCATGAATAAAAGGGGAAATCAGTAGGGTTTAGAGGATCCAGGGGGAGGGAGGAAGGGAGGAATGGAGGAAAGGGGAAAACGGAAATAAAATTGACCAAATTATGCTATATGCATGCATAAATATATCACAATTAATTCCATCTTTATGTATAATTACAATGCAGCAATGAAAAGAATATGCAAATAAGCCAGGCTCAGTGGTGCATGCCTGTAATCCCAGCAGCTCAGGAGGCTGAGGCAGGAGTATCTCAAGTTCAAAGCCAGACTCATCACTTTATCTAGGCCCTAAGCACCTCGGTAAGACCCTGTCTCTAAATAAAATACAAAAATTCCTGGGGATGTGGCTCAGTGGTTGAGTGTGCCTCAGTTCAATTCCCAGTACCAACCAAATACACACACATACTAAGAGTATGCAAATAAACAGAAGGAAGACCAGAGAAGGAGAGGAAAAGGAAGAGGTAAGGAAGGAAGGGAGGGAAAAGAGAAGTACTGGGGAATGAATTGGAGCAAATTATGTGCATGTATGAATGCCACAATGAACCCCACTATTATGTATAATCCACTAGTAAAAATATAAAAAGCTCTTTAACATATAAAAAAAAGACATAAGAAATTCAGACCTTGTGAGTGCTATACCTTAGGATAGCTAACCACTAAATAATTGGTTGATTGATTATTTCCACAAATAATTATTCAGAAACTAGCAGAAATATGCCTTATAGTTAAGGAGCCAGAAATCACTTACAAATGGTCTCTGTTTCTAGACCTATGCAAGAATGAAATATTTCTTGTGTTGTACTTTGTCTTTAAACAGAACCTCTATTGCCAGGCACACTGGTAATCCCAGCAATTTGGGAGGCCAAGGCAGGAGGATTTCGAGTTCAAGGCTAGCCTTGGCAATTAGCAAGATTCTGTTTCAAAATAAAAAATAAAAAGGGCTGGGGATTTAGCTCAGTGGTATAGCACCTCTGGGTTCAATCCTCAGTACTAAAACAAACATCAAACAAACAAACTGAACCTCTATCCAATTCTTGTTATCTTGTGGAGGCCATTTCTATCAAGAACAATAACTTTAACTGTTTACATCAAGGCATTAAACTAAAATTTATTTAAACAAATATATCCTATGAATGTATAACATCCATGAGACTGTGACAGGACTAGGACACCATTCTCATCTTCAAGGATAATGTTTACTTAGGTAAATTCACTTTCATATGTAAGAAATGCCAAGCACAACTGGCAGGTTTTATAACCTAAATGCAAACATTTTAACTAATTTGTTTACCTGAGGATCAGGGCTGTTAATGTGTTTAGTGTCCTTCTGATGCAAATCAGTTTATTTTTATACATGGAGGTCTCTGGGACTAATGAGAAGAAAATTAGTTTAAGCATTTAATTTATATCCTAAATTAGTTTTCTGAACAGATGACTTCTCTTAATCCATGTGTGCAGTGCAGAGTCAGTGAGTGGGGAGGGAGCTTTCAATATACTTCTCTATAGTCAATTTGAAGTTCTGTCTGTATTACAGAGGTTTTATTTTTTCTAAAAAATTTATTTATTTATTTTTAGTACTGGGGATTGACCCCAGGGGCATTTTATCACTGAGCTATACATCTAGCACCTTCTATTTTTTATTTTGAGACAGGGTCTTGCTCAGTTGTTGAGGATCTAAGTTGATGAGGCTGGCCTTGAACTTGTGATTCTCTCTCCTCAGCCTCCAGGGTCATCAGGGTTGCACACGTGTGCCACCATGCCTGGCTCAGGTTTTAATAGCAACATATTTTTTTTTAATCCAACAAAAAGTAAAGAACATGTATGCTTTCATCCAAGATACCCCAGGGTTTGGACTTGACCCAACAGATAGGCTCCTCAATTCTTGCTAAGAATATAGCTAGAGAGAGTCACAGGCTGGACATGGTGGTACATGTCTATAATCCCAAGTACCTGGGAGGCTGAGGTAGGAGGATCAAAAGTTTGAAGGTAACCTGGGTAACCTAGTGAGACCCTGTCTTAAAATAAAGCATTAAAAGGGTTGTGGATGTAGCTTAGTGGTATAGCACCCCTGGGTTCAATTCCCAGTACTACAGAAAAAAAAAAGTTACTTTTTTTTTTTTTTTGATAAAAATAATAGAAAAGTAGAGGACTATCTAAATAAATTGTGGCATACTATGCATAAATTTAAAAGAATGGGAGATTCGTATGTGCTGATTTGGAAAGACTACCAAGCTATATTGTTAAATCAAAAAGGCAAAAACCTATGTGTGACATATGTAACATTTAAAATGAGTGTATCAATGAAAGCATACAGGTGGAAATAAGGAAAATATTTTTCTGCATAAAATCAAATAAATTTAAAAGTTGAAGAAAGGGGTAAAGAGTGGCCTGCAGGGAGGGAGACACCAAGTTCAGTTCCTATGCAGGCAAAACTTTTCATCTTAGGCATGGATCATTTTTAAAAATTGTCATCATGGGTAATCTAGAATGGGAGATACTAGGACACCACCCCTCCACCACCTTTCTTTTCTGTAAGTAAAAAATATGCTAAAGGATGTTCCAGGATTTCTACTACTAGCAGCAAGGGAGACGAGAGAGTCTGATTATTGTTCTGATGAAAATCACCAACTAGGGAGGCTAAGGCAGGAAGATTACAAGTTTAAGGCCCACCTGGGCAACTAGTGCAAATCTGTCTCAAAATCAGAAGGGCTGGGGATGTAGCTCAGTGCTCACCTAGCATGCATGAAGCCCCGGGTTCAATCCCAGTACTCTGAAAAAAACCAAACCAAACCAAAAAGAACAACACCGACTCTCAAAAAATGTTGGGCCAGGAAAGCAATACAGAATGTGTGAAATACGATTCTACACAGTTCAAATGTGGAAAAACCAAACAGTATCTGTTGTTTAACTATATATACAGTAGGGATAAGTTTACAAAGAAAAATCAAGAAAATAAATAAAAAATGCAGGGTGTTACCTGGAGGAAGAGCGGTGGGTGTGGGAAGAGTGCTAATGGGACTGGAAAGGAGTGCCCAGGTTAGATTCTACTTCTTACACAGAGCCATGGGACATGGATGTTAATATAATTTTTTCAATTATATGATATACTATACACATATGATGTATTTCATGGGGAAAAAGTACACACTGATGTCTTGTGAATATGAAGAAGTTTATAGGCCAATGGGAAAGGTTTTATCAGTGGTTTACAATGTGATTCTCTATTTTCCACTCCAATAATACACTTATCAGCGTGGCAATATTAAGGCAGGATTCAGCCAAGCTTAGAAACAGAGCTTGTACCGAGGCCTCAGATGATAAACATGACCTCATATGAGATGCTAGAAAAGGCCATGGACCATCTGGCCCATTTCTCTCTGCCTCACAAGTAAAAATCTCAAATTACCTAACTCACTTAAGCAGAGATGCACTGAAGGCTAGATTCATGTGAGCACTCAGTGCACACACCGGAACTCTTAAGCAATATGGATAATCGCACTTCAAACTGTTAAGGCTAAATGGCCTCTGGAGTACACTTGAAAAACAATATTTTTCTGCCACATACATTGACCTTGCTTCAGACACCTGCTTCAAGTTGCTCTTTGTAGAATGAGTATAAATGCTTACCTGTGTTTGACCATTTTTTGATCATGACAAAAATGACTGAGGAATCTTGCGTAGAATAAGTGCATGACGGCATGTTCCTTCCCTCCAATGTACAGATCCACAGGCATCCAGTAATTGGCTAGTGTTGTGCTAAAAGGGCTGGAAGAAAGAGAAATGGGCATTTAAAAAACCTGCTCACCACACTGCACAAATTAAACAGAACGTCGTAATTTGCATATGCCCTGAGATGAATCACGGCAGGAAAAACCAGAGATTTTCTTTTAAGAATAAGAGAAAAGCTTATGTAATAAAGGGAGGAAAAATCAGATCAGTGCTAACTTAGAAAACTTACAATAACAGCTATGGAAGACATTAGTGACAAATATTTTAAAAATGCAATTTTCATACAAAATGGGAATAAGAGAAAAACATATCAGCAAAAAAAGGCATCTCAGTACAATGCACGTTTAAATATCTAGATTTATTTCAGTTTTTATTATGATTAGACAATGGAGATTTCTGAGTTCTTACCAATAGAGGGCAATGTGGCATTTACGATGCAGACTGACATGCAGCTACTAAATGTTCATTTTAAAACAGAAATTCAACCTTATTTTTTAAAGTAGCTTTAAAATAGTCAGAAAGAGCCTGTGCATGGCTTACTGAATGCAATGAAGACTACTTAGGATAAGTAGTCAATAGCTCAATAACACTCTCACCTACCATGTGCCATTACAGCACAGACACTGAAAGACAGGCTTCCTCAGACTCTTGGCCCTGGTGGACATGGGGAGAGGAGAAACTCCATTTCCCTCTGTTCTGCAGGGATCCTTGGGAAAGAGAGGCACTGGCCCCTCTCTTGAGGTCAGCCAATCAAGTGGCCCTTTGCCTTTTGAAGATGTGTGCTCCATGGTTTCAGATATTTGTGAATTCTCTCCCCTCATCTCTAGGTACTTTCTCTGCAGGGAGGTGGTGGCTCCAGCTCAGGCAGGTGGAAGTCTGGCCAACCAGTGCACGTTTGCATCTTAGTGTAGGTTAGTCTCTCACCTCCCGTTACTGTGCCAGCATTTGGTAAATTAAAAAATAATAATACATAATTTTTTCCTTTGTGAAAAATGATTCCCTACAGAAATCCAACTGCTGATCCAGGTGAGGGGAAAGAAGGGAAAGCGAAGGATGGTATTTAGTTCAAAAACTAGTTTGGGAAGAATTAAGGTGTGAAATGACAAAAATAGCTGTAGAGAGGATTTATGATCCACCCAGGAAGCCATCCCAGTGGGAGCTCAAGCCAGAGGCTGCAGAAAGCAACAGCAGGGGGGGAAATGAAGTGCACTGCACTCTTCACCAAAGAGGGGCTCTGAAGGCCCAGGATGAAGGCCAGGTACCAGTCGAGGATCCCTCTTATAATTTAGTCTCTGCCATCTGTAAAGGTGGGAAGGTGAAGAGCCTGCCTCCTTGCATTCCGAGCCAGATGTTACCAAATGAGATGCCTTCCAGGGGGAAGGCCTAGGAGAGGAGCCCTTCTGTGGGTTAGATGGGGCCACCCTGGTGACTCACAGCCTCAGGAGTCACTGTGACCTTTCTATCTTCGCGGGGGATTATTGACTTTGGATCCTACTCATTTCTGAAATGAACTCAAATGACAGAATCATAATTCTGCAGGTCAGGATGATAGTGGGGGAGGACAGGAGCATCCATCTCTCCAGAAGTATAGTATTTTACAACCAATAAGGGGGCATTTTTATATGTAGAGTTTAGGGTTCCAGAATATTTCTACCATGGACAAGAGCAATCTGACAAGGTCCTTTTAAGCAGAGTATTTGCGTTTTTTCCTGAGCTCTGGAATAGTTCAGCTCCCAATCTTTTTTTTTTTTTTTTTTTGCCTAGTTACCAAATGCTCTTTCCCTTCATATTTTTTTTTATTTTCGCTTTTTTCTTTTCTTCCTTCCTTCTTCCTTCCCTCCCTCCCTTCCTTTCTTTTGGCAAAGAAACATAAATATAACTGAAGAATCATATAGTATTGAAAGGTTAATCAAGAAGAACAATGGTGTCCAGTCCCAATGTCCCCACCCAGGTATGTCCCTTAGCTGCTTTTAATTCTTAGCTGTTTCTTCTGGCAATTATTTAAAAAAAAAAAAAAAACATGTTTATACTTTTCACTGATTTGCCAACTTGGGGAATTATCTAGTGACTATATGTGATAACAGGAGATGCTGCTTAGCTCTTTCACACTCCTCACCCCACCCTCCCTATATAGTCACATCATTATTTCTAGTTAAATACATAGCACAGCACTCTTACCATCATAGAAATGCAATGTCCTGCAAGGCAAGCATCACGAGAGCGCTACCTTTTGTTTTTGGACTTTTATTTGTCTTGTATTTGAGATTTACTTGGCTGTGTAAAATCTTATTTAATAGTTCAACACACTCTAAGAGAGACTGTTTGAGTTTTGATACTAGCGATGGAACCCAGGGCCTCATACATGCCAAGCAAGTGCTCAACCGCTGAGCAGCATCTTCCAGTTCAAGAGAGCCTGCTTTTAGGAGCACAGCTGACCAACAGCGTTGGCTGCAGAACCTTCAGTCACTCTGGTGTTCATGCCAGCCCTTGCTCTCCCAGCTGCTCCCAAGGGCAAGAGGGAGGCACTAGGGCAAAACCACTTCTGCCTGCCTGGGACTCCGAGATGAACTTCCCAGCAGCTTTGATGCTCTCAAGGCTGCACTGTGGTCTTCCCCTTATCTCTCCTTCTGCTCCTCCTTGGCACCTGTCACCTGCATGGCAGCTAAGGGCTCTCCTTGCTTACCCTGCTCCTCTCTCTCTGGCCTGCATAGGTGTCTCTCCAAGCAAACCTCTTGCGCAGCTAACCTCATCTTGGAGGACCATTTCTTGCTGGAGGACCCAGGCTGACCAGAGCAGGGGCATTACCTGTGAGCATTCTGAGGGTCTGTGTATCGGAAGTAGTACCAAGCAGAGTCAACAAAGGTATCCATGGTGTCTGTCTCTCTTTTGGCTGCCCCCTGGCATCTAAGAAATAAATGAGGTTCATCGGTTGGTTTCTTTTTAAATTTTAATGCAGTCTTCCACCAGCATTTGAGAAAGTCATGACAATGAGTATGAATATAAAATGGCATAAGAATAATGCCACATCATAAAAAGACAATTCAGAGAAGGTTCTCTTTTTGGATTGTACAGTACATGATGTTTTGAAGGAATTTATAGAATAAAAATTTCAATCTTCCACAATTAAAAGCCTTATTCTCCACTTCTCTTGAATTTAACCCGGTACAAAAATCTCATCACTTGAAAGGACAAGATGGGATTGTCTCTTTTGTGCATTACCTTCTATTTCAGGCATGTCAAGACTGCCTTCAGCCACCACCTACTTTATGATGCTTCTGAAGCAAATCAATGCACGAAGAGAAATTGAAAACCAAAAGAAGTGAGATGTGCTGAAAAATGAACTTGAGATTTTTTTTCTATTTCTGCTCCAGGGTGAAAGATGCAGAAATCCACCTGGACAATCTAAGGAGATATATTACCTTGGAAAGCCTAAGGGCAGTGCTGATCAGAAGCCCCTGGCAGTGAGCTGGCTGCTACACATTTGTAAGGATACCACTGCCTACTGTGGGTTCCTTACTGTAAGCTGAAGAGAGCCCTGGTGTTGGAGACAGAGAATGAAGTGAGATCCTTGGAGTGTAAAGGGTTGAAAAGAAAATGCAGCCCTGACCTAGGAATGGAGGAGCCTGGGGAGTACCAAGGCCTACAAGGGCCATATGCTACACTAATTCTTAAGATTCCAAGACTATGGGACTAAAAAGAGAGCCAGGTGCCAGAAGCCACTCCCTCTAGGAAACTGAGAGGAGGTGCCGTTGGTCAAGCCATGCACAAGAGGGGACTTTGGGGCTCTGGCAGGGAAGCCCATGGTCACTGCTTAACAAAGAGGGTGTGCTATTTTCCTCCTGGAGCCCACATTTGTTTTTGGTACCTGGATTGAACTCCAGGGTGCTTAACCCTTTTCTTTTTCCTTTTCTTTTAGTTGTCAATGGATCTTTTCCTTATTTATATGTGGTGCTGAGGATCGAACCCAGGGCCTCACACATGCCAAGCAAGCGCTCTACCACTGAGCCACGATTCCAGTCTCCCCCAGCCCTTTTTATATTTTATTTTGAGACAGGGTCTCACTAAGTTGCTTAGGGCCTCACTAACTTGCTGAGGCTGGCTCTGAACTCACAACCTTCCTTCCTCAGCCTCCTGAGCCGCCGGGATTACAGATATGTGACGCGCACCTGGCTTGGAGTCTACATTTCTAGCCTAAGGTGGCCTGTGGCTTCTTATGTTCCTCCCTACCAGCTCCATTTCAAATTTCAGAACCACCTGGGTGAGGCCCCAGAGGACAACTGTCAGGCTTCACCTACAAAACGCCCGCTAGGTGCCTCTGTGTAGCCTCACCTGTGTTCATTCTGGTCCTCAGAATGGCCCTTGGAGGAGGTTACTCTAATTCCTGAGGAGGGAACTGAAGCTGTGGCAAGTCAGGTGACTTTCCTGAGGCCAAACAGCAAGTTCAGACACGGAGCCAGTACTTGAATCCATTACTGACTAATTCCTCAGCCTGAGCCTTTCACCTGCACCATGTGGCCACCTGATTGCCACCAGGAACTCAGCACTCCTCTGGCAGAAGACTAAACTATTTTAAAACCTCCCCATCACAATCTAGGAGCAAAGAAAAATGGGTTCTCCACAGAAGGAAGAGGAAAACACTGGAGCTTGATGTCTGTGACTTATTTGTTTAATCGGCTGATTCGGCACCATCAAAATCACACTTGAGACATCCCTGTGAACTGACAGAACAACAATCCACTTCCAGAAATGGAGAGGGGAAATCAGAGCTGCTTCAGGGCCTTAGAGAACACTGGTGGCTTCGCCCCTGCTCTGCCACTGCTGATAAGATCTCCACTGTCACAGCACTGAAAGGAAACCACAGACACGAGAGAACACATCCTCTCGGAATATGAAATGGAAGACAGTGGCCTTTTACCAAATATGATGAAAACTTGTGCTTTTCCACTCCCTGGATCAGATGTTTCTAGAAAAGATCTGAAATGTCATGGCTGCTTCCAGAGGCTCAGAGGAGCCGGGTGTGGTGGTGCATGCCTGTAATCCCAGCAGCTCAGGAGGCTGAGGCAGGAGGATCATGAGTTCTAAGCCAGCCCCAGCAAAAGTGAGGCACTAAGCAACTCAGTGAGACCCTGTCTCTAAATAAAATGCAAAATAGGACTGGGGATGTGGCTCAGTGGTCGAGTGCCCCTGAGTTCAGTCCCCAGTACCCAAAAGAAAAAAAAAAAAAAAAAAACTCAGAGGAGAGGGGAAGGCACCCGTCACAGTGACTGAGCCAGATTCCAGACCCTTCTCTCAAGGGTCCCAAAAGACCTGTGGCATTCCTTCCAGGCAGTGGAAGTCATGGGAAAAGAGAGCTGAGTTAGCACTAGGAGAGAAGAAGGGGGTTTGAGGCATTTTCAGGGTGCTGGGGTCACAGGCTCAGTCGCTGCTGCAGGAAGTGGCTCCTTACCGTGGGCAGGAGCAGTTCACCCACTCCGAAGCTGCTGCTAGTGGGGAGCCTCCTTTGCCGGTGAAAGATGTGATGTTGGGCAAGGTCACGGGCAAGTCCTCCAGGGACACAGGCACTGGGCCACAGGCTGCACAGTGGACAATGGGGATTGGTGTGCCCCAGTACCGCTGCCGTGAGATCAGCCAGTCTTTCAGTTTGTCACTTGTCACATCTCCACCCACTCTCTTCCCTCGGGCTTTCTGAGTCAGGGCTAGGAAGGCATCCTGCCGGGTCATACCTGTGAACTGAGAGGCAAAGGAGAAATGGCTGATCTTCTCTGCGTAAGACAAGGTACCACCCCCACACTGCCACCCCATACTGCTGTGTTTACGTGTGGCTCTCCCAAGGGATCGGTTCTATGCAGGGTCGCATTTGGACTCTCTTGAGCTCCAAGTGCTTTTGCCTTGTGGGTCCCTTCCTCCTTAAGATAATATCAAAAATTATATTTTATGACTGTTTTGATATAAAGACAAGTATAATTTTTGACACTAAAAAATTCATTTTTTTCTCTTTAAATTTTAAAAGAACTTAAAAACCCTCTAAAAGTACTATGGGCCTGGGCACTATGTATCCTGTCTATATCCAGTTGGTAAGTTAGCCCTGGTTCTGTGGCTCTCCTTATTCTAGAACCCTGTGATACCTATAGGGATAATCAAATATCAGCATTTTGCTGCCAGTGAAGAATTGCATGATATGTATTTTTAATGACCTGTCCCCTGTTAGAGGAAAAGATATCCAGAGAAGGAATTATAAAGGCAATATTATAAAGACAATCCGTACCATGCCTTAAAGACACAGACCACACCTTTTATATTTAAATGCTCCCATTTCACAGAGAGCAGGGCTGAACAGGAATAGTACAAAGAGAAATTCTCTTTTTACTGATCCTTTTCAGAGAGCCAAATTAATTGTACAAAATGAGCCAGTGGGATTTGTGAACAACCAGACTGTTGCCCTGGAACTGGTTCAGTGAAGGCATAAGGTGTACCTACTATGTGTTGGGCTTATGCTAGGCCTTGGCACAAAGATAAATACCGTCTGTCTATGTTCTCAAGGAGCTCATAGTCATGAGACACAAAGAGTAAGAAAATACAGCCATGTTGACCAAGAGCAGTGCTTTTCTTCAGCAGTCTGATGTGTTGTCTAAAGTACCTGCGCCTGGGGACAGTCCCTAACTAAGCTCCATCCTCCTGTTACCATATAGTTATGATGCACTTTTAAAAGCTTTCTTGAAAGTCTATCTCTCCACACACCACTATCTTTATGATCCAGAAGGTCAAGGAGGAAATGGCTTTTGACCATCCATTCTCTTTCTATTCATTGGAGAAATTCCTCTATCCCAGCTATTTAGCCTAGAGCCAGGAGAGGATTCAACAGGCCATCTGAAGCTATGTGAAAGAAGCCAAGGAGTATAACTAACACTCACGAGTCTATATTAAGGAGTGGATATTTCTCTGGGCAGTGAAGCCTCATTTTGGCCATGGATATCCTCTCTCGTGCCCTAACGTAGAGCGTTAGCCCAGGTCCCTTACAACTCCTTAGCTGGCTCTGTTCCACCTCCAGGGGGCCCGCTCAATAAGGTCTAAATAAAGGTTCACGATCTTAGAGTGTGAGTCATGTCTGGAGATGCAATTTATGAAGTGAAGATACAAATATGAGGTCAGAAAATGCTGTCACTCCTTATAAAGGAAAAAGAAAAACCTGGTCACAATTCTCTTATTTATAGAAAAATAAAACATCTGATAGACAGTGGTCCCAAACCTGTAAAAGCTGAATCTTTTTTTTTTTTTTTCCACTTGTGCATATGCTTCTTTATTTTTTTTTTTTTGATTTTTTTTTATTGGTCGTTCATAACATTACATAGTTCTTAATACATCATATTACACGGTTGATTCACGTGGATTATGAACTCCCGCTTTTACCCCGTATACAGATTGCTGTATCACATCAGTTTCCCTTCCATTGATTGACTTA